CCCCCCCCCCCCCCCAATCTGAAAAAGTATAGAAAATCTTCTAGCCTATTCCTCTTAACAAACAAGTGAACATCCCCACGTTACTCTTCAAAAGTATTGAACACTCATTATCAGAATTTTGTCACAACCAACGCGGGTTCAACGATTTGGTTAGAAACAACAGACAAACAAATTAACATAAACAAACAAACCTAGATCGCGTTTGGAAAAGAAAACAACACATATGTTCAATACTTTACTTCAGACAAAATTCTTGGTACTCTCTTGGCTTCTCTCTTGGCTTCAGGCATATTTATTTTTCGGTAGATTCTTGACTTCAGACACTAATGGTTTGGGTATACCTTCGGCTGCAGTTGCCCACATTGATTTACAAAATCCTATCTACAACACAAAATTGGCGACTTCGGGCAGTACATGTAACACTAACAGCCAAAGCACCTTTCAGTACATATCGTAACAGACATGGTGGAGTAGATGTGTACCCAGAAACCCCCCCCCCCCCTCCCCATCTCTGAAAGGACTCAACAGAGGGATACATATTATTGTCCCAGAAGACAGAAGAAGATTTTTTTTTTATTGAATACCCTCGTGAAAATCGAACTCATATTTTCAGCACGTAGTGGCAAGGAGTTAACCGCTTCACCACTTACACCGGTATGTCGGATTGTTTTTGGTGGGTTTTTTCCTGGGGGAAGGGGGGAGGGGTGCCTAATTTTCTGATAACCTAACTAGAGGTCTATCTGGTTTAGGTATAACCTAAGATAAGATAAGAACTCACGAAAGATTTTTGTGTGTTCTGATTCTGTTGGGGCGAGTCCAGTGTTGATTCAGTGCAATTCTATATCCTGATGAATATACTTTGAAATGTTTATCAGTACTACAAGCCTTGTAAAATACGCTTTGTATGTTATTATGATGATGCATATCAATCTCATGTCTGTTTAGATGTGCTGCACCATGAATCTAGATTTATTGGTACACTTTGGAAATGTGCATTCCCCAACATTTGCCTGTGGTTTTCTTTCTCTGTCTCTCTCTTTCTTCCTCTCTGTTTCTCTATCTATCTATCTATCTATCTATCTATCTATCTATCTATCTATCTATCTGTACATATTATATCTGTTTCTCTCTCTGTCTTTCTCCCACATACACACACACTCTCATGTATACGCGTACGCGGTCACAAACATACGCGCGCGCACGCACACACACACACACACACACACACACACACACACACACACACACACACACACACACACACACACACACACACACAAACCCCTTTACACTCACATCCTACACACTTATACTATAACTTTTGGTTATAATTTATCCTCTCTCTGTCTCTCTTCCCACACTATACATGTACTTCATATTGTAATTTAATGTATTCGTGTTTTGGTCGTAGGGGGTAGCTCCCAAAGCAATCAGTAATGTCATAACTGTCTTTGTGAATGCTTTCTTGTATTTTTTGGTGGTAGACGAAGAGTAGTACATGATGTATGTAGAACTAGATAGTAGCAAGCCTATATTAGTATATACGTCCCTCTGTTCGGAGTGTCTTTTTGCGTACTGGTTCAATGTTGGTTGGTCCGACTGACTACATTGTATTTAATTTAACCCTATCCGTACGTCGTGTTTCACTATCGCATCCATACGACGTGGGGAACTCTGTGCCACCACTTTCCCTAGAGGAAATTTATTCGTTAATCCGATCCGTACGCTTTGCATAGCAGTCTGTGAAAATGATTTTGTTTAGAAATACTGAAAATTTTTAAGAGATCTTCGTACTAGAAGTATTCTAAAATGTGAAGAATACAACCCCGGGGGTTCAAAATGACCCCATGGCATACGGATAGTGTTAATACAA